GCCGCCGCCGCCGCCCGGGGCTCTGCCTACGACAACTGTGTGCTCACACGTCTGTCTGCAGCCTTCGATCTTGCTCAATTACACCCACACCACTCCACATGATATTTCAAAATGACTATGACATGAACCCTCTAAACTTGATATTAACAATTTCCATTAAACTACTACTATGCCACTCAGACTTCACGTGACATCTATTGCTATTGAATAACAGCCCTAGAAACGAGATTAAACAGCGAAAAGCATTGCCAAAACATATATCCAGTAACAAAAAGTTTACTAGTGGCTTTTCGTACTTGGACTAATGTGCATGTCAGAATTCATTGGTCATCTAAACAATATTAGAGCTGTGACAGTCGGTTGTATTCCCACATCTTTTGAATTTTTTCACAGGTATATATCATACAGTTGAGTCCTGTACTGTACTGATAGGACTGCCTTAAATACTGTACCATGAGCATATGACATGGTTTTTACAACTTATGTTTGTCAAATTATTGCATGCAGGATAATATGCTCTCCTCGATCTATGTCTTTTTATATTATTTTCCAACACTAACACTGCAATACCATTATATGATAAAGAGTAGAGTATGTTTCGGAGAAAGCAGTTGCCTCTGGTATACACATTTGTTCAACTAGTTTTATAAAATAAATACAAATGTAATCAGCCCTTGTGATATATTATGAATAGTAAATAATCACAAAAAGCAGCAGTGCATTGTTCTTTTTATTACTCAAAGATTTAACAATACATGACATTGCAACCATATATATAAACATTGCAGTTTATCTAAATGTGTGCATTTACCTATGATTATGACAAGCTCAAGTATGAGCACATACACATAAAGTATGCTATTGCCCACAATTTTGTTGTTTGTTGTGGAATTCAAAAATCTAAGTAGCCTAATCAGAGTGTCAGGCTCAGGTCAGAGCACTTGACTTGTGATCCACAGATCCTGGATTTGAATCTCAACATAAACAAATGTGATGCAACCTACATATATCAGTGAAGAAATTCAAAGATATGTGTGAAGTCAACCAACGTGATTGGTTAAGGCCTTGTCAACCTATATTAGGGTAGGCTCCAAGCCTTTCAGTGCTGATGTATAGTGAGCTGATGTTGATAAAGAAGCCTGTGTGATCTTCAAGACTATGTTCTACATCTGTGTGAAACTTTATAGAGATATGTGAAGCCCATTAAGAGATATATTGTATGAAACATCCATCTATAGCCATCTTAGTATAATATTGTTTTCTCGGTTTAGTAAATGACTAGAAAATGGATGAGAGTAATGGGTCAATATGAGTCTCACAATAGTGCAATTTAACTGTATATTTGCAAAACCAATAAACAGATCCACACAGTTTTTTAAAAAAACTTATATTTGACATTCTTGGACTAATCTTTTATGCATAACATGGGTGATACATAAAAGTAATACAAACCTTATGAGAAAAAATTAGTAATTACACAATCTACATTATTTAAAACACAAAATCGTGAGTAAAATGAGAATAAAACTGTTGTCAAGTAACGTTAGGTCTTTCCCATTGTGCAGTACTGACCTATGTGATCTAAGAATCCAAGTAAACAACACAAGAAATTATCTATCAAAATTGCACTTAAAAGTCAACTTTCTCTGTTTTCAATAAATTAAATAGAGGTTCATAAAAATTTCAAGTCATTTAATTGTTTATGAAAATCAAAGCAGCTTAGAAATATTCAATTTTTTCTTGCTTTGGACATTAAGTGCAGTCGACCTAGTATCGAAAACGGCGCTACCAGCTACAACTGTTGTACCGAAAATTTCTTTTGTCTACTGTTTCGACAGGTTCGCGATTTCGCTCGATTCTTATTATATTAAATCACAATAATAATACGCAACGTTAATTCAAAATCATTTGCTTTTTAATTCTGCATGGTCATCGTGCATTTTCCGCATGTTGTTACAAAATATACGATCAGCTGATTTCTTTGTTTGACGAATGCCACTGGTTTGCCCAACTCTAGGACCAAATGTTGACACGTCAATATTTTTAAAATAAATTAATAGACATCTAATCTCTTTCTGCATACAATGGTGACACTTTGGACTACGGCAAGATAAGCAGTTTGCCCCAATAAACCCCATAAACAAATCATGAGAGTTCCTACCTTTGTAATGCACTCGAAGATTATTTTGCGACAGCCCGATGTAGCTGAATTTATCTTTTGTGCTCCAGGATCTAGGTAAAGGTGTCTCATCTTCGTTCACGTTCGGATAAAGCAATTTTAAACGATCTTCTGTATCACTTTGCACTTGATTTTGGGAATCCATCGTCCCCCGTCCACTACCTATCGCAGCCATTTCTAATTTCCGTAATTCATTTCTGTCAGTGACGTCACATCAAGGACTTTGTAGATTAAACAGGACTGAGCTCCGTCAAAAAGCAAAATAGCAAAACATACCTTATGCAAAACCTGTAAGATTTAATTTGAAATGTTGCCACTGGAAAAATGAAACCAAGAGAGATAGCAATATGAAGGTGCCGATCTCTTTCTAATGTGGCCAGGCATAAAAATGTAGCTTTGGTCTTAGTTTGTTGTTTATTTATGCTTTATATGTTGGTGTTAAAATCATTGATTGTCCTAAAACTAAGAAAATATCCAACTTTTCTAATATAATGCGATTAGTCTAATTCGTGGCAACAAACGACTAACCTTTAATAATATGGTTCTATGGTTTAGATTGTACTTGGACTGTACTACTATCTTATTTAGAATTATGATAATCACTACAGTAACTGCTTATATTGCCTTTATATATGGTTAATAAAATAAAAATGCATAAAAATCGTAGTAACAAGTTTCTTGGAAAAATTGAGAAAACAATCGAGGAAAAACTTAAGTTAGTTAAAGAACCTAATCAACTATTGGAATCAAAACAGGATTACAATGATCAACTTCTTCATGTTCGTATCAAACGAGAAATTTCAAGAAAGTTATATCTACCTAAATTTTTTAATGTTTATCTTGTTTTCGCAGATCTATCGGGATGCCTTTAAAAGTATAATTGATTTTACAAAAACTTTTTCAACGGTCTTAGGAAAAATAAAAATAGCATATGAAAATGCCTTAAAAATAAGGGACGAACGAATAGCGCAATTCAGTTTACAAGATGTAAGTATAATTTCTCTACAAAATTCAATCAACAGTACTTTTCTTTTTTTTGTTTGAAGAGTATATCATCTTTCTTATACTTCATCATCACCAGCTCAGTATACATACGTCTCCATCGAGGGGCTCGGAGCCTACCCATGCTGGCCACCTCGGGTTGGTGGTAAACTTTAAGCGTATCTTTGAATTTCTTCGCCGCAATGTACAGGTTGCATAACGATGTTTTCCTTCTCCGAAAGAACGCCGGCTAAATTATGTACATACGAAATTCGAAAAATCGTAAATCACATTGGTACATAGCGGGATACGAACCCAAGACCTGTATATTACAAGTCAAGTGCTTAAACCACTGAGCCGCCAAGGCTCTACTTATACTTATTCTTATATTATTAATTCGAATCCTCTCCACCGTAAACAACCACTACCGTCAGTGGTTTTTAGCCTATCCATTAATCGGCTCGAGAATATAGGGTAGATAAGACAGTTTCGGACCAAGGAAAGTTACGGTCCAGTTAAGAAAAAAACGCACGTATTGGAGCTTTTACAGAAATTAAACCACTGAAACAATATGCTACAACTAGTATTTTAAAATGTGACATCTAAATAACTAATACAAATATAAATTTAAAAAGCCGCGGGTAATCCTAATATTTCAGGCGTGAAGCTGATAAATTTTTTTAATTTCTTATCACTTTTGTTAAGGACAGCCTTTTTTAAATCTTGAAATTTGTTTACTTATTCAATTTTAATGTGCTTTTTTATCATTTTCTCTAATAGAAGAGATGTTCTAGTGTGTATTTATGTGGATATTACAAAGATTATTATTTTCATTAGGCTTAAAATATGGCGGACTTATCCTGTCTCAAATCTTATATGAAAGTACATTTATGGCCATAGCACTTTACAGTTATGGTCCTAGGCCAAGGTACAGTTTCGGTCCACCGAAACTAATTTTCCGACAGCTATAAGATCCTTGTTGTACTATAATATCACAGTGATGAACTCGAGTGATTTTTTTTACTCGAGTCACTCAGTACTGGTAACTTCTTCTCTCGAATGCTGCTCGAGTGAAGATAAGACTCAGTGATTTTTATTGACTCGAGTCACCCGGAATATAAATCTCAGTAACTAACATTTAAAAATGAATAAAACAATATTAATTTAACATTGAAAATTCGTTTTCTCATTAACGTAAAAGCAATTAAAAAATTTAAACAAAATGTATGATAAAAAAAATCCTTTAAACTAAACCTGTCTACATAATCAAGCAACCTCTAATATCAACTATCAGTTGAACTAATATATTATAATGTACTACTAACAAGTTCTAATCTAATTTTTCTAACATTGAATTTTCATAATATCAAAATATGAACATTTTCATTACGTTCTTACACAATTTAGATAATAATAAACATACTTTTGAATTAACTTAAATGAATCTTAAATAAACTAAACAAAAGAACAGAAATAACGTAGTTTTAAATAGATGACAAATTTAACTGAAATGGCTGTAAGAATTTCTTATTCGGTTCGGTATTAACCACTCGAGTGGTACGAGTCACTCTTAATTCGAGTTGTCAAAAATTTCACTCGAGTCCGAGTAATATAAAAATTAATCGAGTCACTCGAGTATAAAGCAACTCGAGTCCATCTCTATACTAGACTTATAGATAGACGTCAAAATTAAAAGTGATCTATTAAATTAAATTGGCTCAACTATAAGTTGTTTTATATTATATGATATATGTAAATAAAATACAAACAAGTGCTTTGTGAAATTGCGCTCGCATATATTTTATATAGGTACTATTTATAGATTTTATACATATTATCTATCAGTACCTATGTTACGCCGTCTTTCAAGAGTTCAAATAAGCAAATAGCGTAATTGCGTATAGGAGTTAGGGGTTAACTTTTAGAAAACATGAAGTTAAATGGAAATAAGGTGTTAGTACTCGATGGTGGTTTCTCGTCACAGATTTCATGTCACGTTGGCACCAACGCAGATGGCGATCCACTGTGGAGTGCAAAATTCTTGAAAACAAACGCTGAAGATGTGTACCAAACTCATTTGGATTATCTTCGCGCCGGTGCTGACGTAATAACCACCAACACTTACCAAGCATCTGTAGGAGGTTTTGTGAAACATCTTGGCGTATCTACAGAAGAAGCGACGGAACTGATTAGACTAGCTGTGAAATTGGCGAGGCGTGCTTGTGATACTTACTTAGAGGAAAACAGTCAACCATTGTCGAACCCAAGTCCACTCATAGCGGGTTCAGTAGGTCCCTACGGTGCACATTTAAATGACGGGTCCGAATATCGTGGCAATTATGCAGATATAGTATCTAGTGAGACAATACGAGAATGGCATATTCCTCGTATAAATGCTTTGTTAGAAGCAGGTGTGGATTTACTTGCTATAGAGACAATACCATGTCTTAAAGAGGCCCAAGTACTTGTTGAGCTGTTGAAGGAATACCCCAAAGCCAAAGCTTGGCTTTCATTCAGTTGTAGCGATGATAAAAGACTTGCTCATGGGGAGGATTTTGAAATGGCTGCAGTACAATGCTGGCAGGCTAACCCTACTCAACTGATAGCTGTAGGAGTTAATTGTTGCCCCCCTAATATTGTCTCAAACCTTGTAAAGAGCATAAATAAAAACAGAGAAGAACCCATTCCCTTTGTGACATATCCTAACTCTGGAGAGAAATATATCCCAGATATGGGATGGACAGACAAAGATAAAAGTGAATCCATTGATAAATTTGTCCACGAGTGGCTCAAGCTTGGTGTACAGTACATTGGGGGATGCTGTCGAACATATCAAGATGATATTTCTCAAATTAGGAAACTAGTGAATTTGTCATTTTAATTGATCACCAATTTGTTTACTTTTAGTAACACTAAGAATTAATTTTAAAAAAATTATATATAAAACATATAGTAAACAAGTAATGAATAACAAATATGGGTATAAAATTACATTGTAAATATGTTTTAATGATTTTGATATACAATAAAATTTTGTTTTATTTACAAATATTTGTTATATATTTTGCAGAAAATATTTGGAATATCATTAAGAAAGAGAGAGAGAGATGATGAAGTTGAAAAACTTTCTAATGAAAATGCAGAAATAAAAAATGGCAATCTCAAATTAAATATAGAAATGATGAGACTGAAAAAGACTATTAGTGAGGTATTTGATATATGTATATCATTTAACAGCCACAAAAAGCTTTGTCCACTGATTGACATCTACAAGGACTTGTTTTCTATTCATCACACATAAATAGAAAACAAGTCCTTGGAGATGTACAGTCATGGAAATTTGCAGTGTTCCACCTCCAGAATAATTGTCTTGTTCCTTGCAACCAAACTCTGCTTCTTACAAAAACCTGTAAGGTATCAGTAAGTTGCCCAAACTACTTTATATTAATAAAATACAAAACTGCAAACAACTGATCAGTCTTTTTTGTGCAAACACATTTGCAGTTGCATTCTATTGGTCTTTAATCTACATTATAGTCTCAATGAATACAAATTCAAACTACTAGCTGTTAAGGTGGAACACTGCCATATTCTCCAACTGTACCTTTTGGTATAATTCAATTTAAATGAAATATTATATTTACAAAATTCACTGGTGTGACTATGTCATTTATTATCTATGCTTTTGTGTTTAAACATGTCTATTTTTTAAAAGACTGGTCCAGGGTGATCAGTGGCGTAGCGAAGGGGGGGCAAAGGGGGGCATCTTGCTCTGGCCGCAGCTCTCAGAGGGCGCCAAATGGTTTTAAAAAATTATGTGCCAATACAAATATAATAAATGTTCCTTCGGAAACAAAACGAAACAGTACGAATCTAAACCACCGTTCCTTATCGTATTCTTGTCAATTCAGTCTAGGGCGGCAGATTTTAGGGGCGAAAAAATTCGGTCACATTCGCTGCTTGCGCATGCGCTGTTTTAAAGTTAAAACACGGCATTGGCGGCTGTCAAGCGACAAACGCTTTAAAAGCAATCCTGCTATATTCATATAACAATCAAAATGCAACACTGCTCTATGAAAAAGCGAACTGTTTTAAAGGCGCGACCAAATTAACAAATACATTGAAATCCAATTTTTAGATTTGAACTAACAAAGTTGAGTTAAATGTGCCGCGAACCAAAAATGCAGAGGTAGAGGAAGGTATGGGAAACGTGGGTAGTCACCCGCATCCTCCCGTTTCAAAGTGAAGAAGCTCCTTGAATATACTGAAGTCTATTTCTTAGGATTGATAAAAGTAATAATAGACGCACCTTTACATTGCAATTTATAATAATAAATTTGTTTTCAAATAATACAGTTTGTTTTTATACACCAATTGGCATAAAATGGCATTAAACGTCAAGTGGAGCTTATTACAACACGACAATGCAAATTGAATTAAAATCGGTTAAGCCCTTTCTGAGAGTAGTGCCCACAAACTCAAAGTGACAAAATATAAACGCCTTTGCGTATGCGTTTAACTTCAATATGTAACTTAATTAATTTGCCAGTATATATTAGATGTAAAATTATATGATTTTCGAATTGAGGGGGGGGGGGCTAAAAAGGAATTGTGCCCCTGGCGCGAGATAAGCACGCTACGCCACTGAAAGTGATTAAGGGAAAATTATTTAGATAGTTTAGTTGTAATTTATCTTTTCCACTGAACTTGACTCTGTAGTCCCTATAGGTTGCATGTCTATCGCTATTATGAAACATAGAAGCGCAACTTATTTATTTATCTATGTTATTTTGTGTGCTTCATTATTTATATTACAATAGTTTCCGACTGTAGGACCATTCAGTCATACATGTCATTACATCTGTTTCACTTACTCTGAAGACACTAACACAAGAATAATATACTTTAATTTCAATGTTTAACCTGGAGTAAGCCACTGTTAATGATGTGACTTTTGAATTATGTATATGTGATTATTATTCCTGCATTTAATATCTTATACATAATTATTTTATACTGTAAGTAAATATCTTTTACTCACATATAAAAGGATACACGACACATTACCATCACGTCACATGGGAATAATAAAAGTAACGCTGCGATAGAGTAAAACGCAATTGTGATTAAAATAAGAGTACAGAAATGACTGCTCTCAATGTTCTCAGTTGCAACAAGAAAAATTCTCCGACTACGTGACGTTAATGAAAGAGAGGGACGGCCGCTACTCGCTGTACCATCAGAAATTGCAATTGGAAGAGCAAGTGAGGCAGCTGACGCGCAGCCCCGCCAGCGACCGCCAAGAGGAGGACCCCTTGCTGCTGCGCCTCGCGCTCCGCTGCTGCAGGTCCGCCGCACACTCTATTCACCCCCACCCTTAAGTTCCTCTAAGCTTACGGTAACCAAGCGATATGACAAAATTTTGCATTAAATGTTGCGTTGTTATTCTCACTTTTCCCTTCACAATGAACGTGGCTGCTCACAGAAAAAACACAATTGTAACAAGCAAATGCAAACACTACAACTTTACTATAACCTAAATAATTGAAAATCTTACTTCATACTAATATTATAAATGCGAAAGTTTAGTTGGATGGATGTATATTTGTTAGACTTTGTAGCCTAAACGGCTGAACGTATCTCGATAAAGGCAAAGATGTAGAGGATAATCGGGAAGAACACATAGGCTATTTGCTTTTGTTTTTTTTTAATCCCACTTGGACGGAGTCGCAGGCGAAAGCTAGTAAGTAATAAAAGTATACAAGTGAAAATATACTTTTATTACTGATTTTCATTTTAGTGGGATCACTAATGAGGGTCAATATATAATAATCTATATTATTTCTACCTAACAAAGTTGGCCTACATTTTCATAGTTACTCATATAGCACACTAGCGTCGAATCGTCGAATGAAGTTGAACAGTCGGCTAGTAGGGTGTGTGAAGTAGTGTTGGGAACACACAGGGAGCAGCTGGCGGCGGCGCAGCGCGAGCTGGCGCGGCTGGCTGACGAGTGCGCCGACACCGTGCCGCGCCGCGACTACGACGCGCTGGAAGCCCGCGAGCGTCTCCTCCGCAGGGACCTCGAACAGACCGCCAAGGAGTACCGCGCCCTCGAGAACTGCTACAATCGCGCACAAGGTACGCGCGTATAAACTCACCAACTAGTAGAACCGGACTGTTGACTGGACGAGCTGCTTAACTCCATAAAGAAGAGAAGAAAACGAAAAAGCCATGGTACGGTGTTCGCAGAGTTTTGTATCGTAACCAGGATTTACCTGATAAAACGTTTTACTAAGGAAAAGT